TGGAATTCCCAATTCCCAAAGGACCTGAGTAGAGCAACAAAATCTCTCCCTTCTCATTTCTCAAAGCACCCCCCATTCCGGATAATCCTGGATTACCCATGCTGCTTCCATCAAAGTTCAACTTAATTGAGCCTTCGGGTGGAGGAGACCAGCTTCTCCAATTGATCTATCCCTATTCTCAAATATGTGCTTGTTCCATTACTCCCCACAAGACAGCATGAATAACTGTGGCCCAAAAGATCTTTCCTCTCTTACCAAGACCTCCACCCTGCCATTCCCAAATAAGATCAATAATCTTCTCAGGTATGGAGCAACTATAACCTGCTAGATTAAGGAAGTGGTGCCAAATTTTCCTTGTTTCAGGACAATGAAGTAGAATGTGCTCAGCTGACTCCCCATCTCTCAAGCAAAAGGTACATGCATGAGGTGAGAGAGATAACCTACCAAGGTTCTTTTGTACTAGGTCACAAGTGTTTATTTTCCTTTAATTAGCTTCCCAAACAAAGAAACTTACTCTTGTTGGAATGTGAGAGCTCCAAACTTTCTTAAAAGGGAAAGGAGGGTTGAGCTCTTCTGCTGTCAAAGCCTTAATAAAGGAGCTGGTTGAGAAAATACCAGCAGGATTTAGGACCCGTGGTTGATTGTCTTTGGATACAGAGGAAAGGTAAACCTCCCTAAGAGCCTGGAGGAGATCAACCACATCCTCTAACTCCACATCCTTTAGGAGTCTACGAAAGTCTAGATTCCAATTATAACCAAAGGATATGGCGGGCAGGCAGGTAGCAACAGTGGCTTCTTTGTTTCTAGAAAGGTTAAAAAGTCTAGGAAAGGACTCAGCCAAGGTCGATTGTGTTCTGGGCTCAACTGTAATTTTGTATTAGCATTCATGTAATTTTTATGCTTTAGCATTCTGTGTTTTCTGCTTGGATTTGGTGGCATCTCACGCTTCTCAAAGGGACTTTTCATGTAAATCTGTCCTTGAATGGATGATATTTTAACTATCAAAAAAAAGGTTGACTCACCCCACCAGAGGTCAGTCCAAAATCTGATTTTACAGCCATTTCCAACTATATATCAAATAAAGGTAGAGAAGAAAGAAAAGGTATAGACACTACCTTTCCAGGGGTTTGTTATGTTGCTATACCAACCATTAACATCCTTCCCATACTTGCTAGTGATGACTGTTGTCCAAATGGCATTAGACTCTAAGGGGAATCTCCACAGCCAGTTGCCAAGAAGAGCAATATTTATTTCCTTGAGATGCCCAAGACCCAAACCTCCACATTCCTTTGGCTTGCACACCTGCTCCCAACTAACAAGGTGGTTCTCTCTCTCTCCTCCCCCATCCCATAAGAAGTCTTTTTGCAACTTCTCAATCTGATTCCTTACTCTGCCAGGGATCCAAAAAACAGAGAAGAAATAGGTACTTCCACGTGGCTAGCTTCGTTTTACATATCTCTTCCACAGGATCCCAGAAATTGATACTCGGTTTCCCCCCAGAAGCTTCTTTTCACATTTTACTTATTTCCGGTATATTTTTTTTTTCTAATATATAGTACATTTTGTACAAGCAATTAATGTTGCATAAAGCACTTGTTAATTCATTTTACTTATTTTGAATCAGCTTGAYTTTTCTATGAGAGATTTTGAAAACACACTTCAATTTATTTTGTACATATGTAATGAATTAAGTTATAGTTTACTTGTAATGTAATTCTTTTTCTACAAAGTAATAAAACTTGTTATTTCTAGTCAAAAGGAAAAAGTTATAGGTGGAGGGTTTGAAATTTTGGTTAAAGTTTAGGGGAAAAATGTTTTTTTTTTTTTCCATATCTTGTTTTGCTTGTTTTCCTAGTTGTGTTTAGGGGCAAAGGTATTATTAGAATAAGTTTCAAATGAATTTGACATTCATAGGAGAGGTATTGAAAATAGACTAGTTAATACAAATGTAAATAGGTGTAAGGGGGAGGATTTGCAATTATAGTCAAAGCATGGTTATTGTGGTATTGCCTAGGTGACTAGGTGCCCTTGGTGGGTTGCCTAGCCTGAACATCTTGACTTAAACAAGAAAGAAGTTTGTCTAGGCAACAAAAATTACAAGGTGGATTCTTTATTTTAATATTATTACTTTGGCTACCTATCATATTCTTATGCTTTGTTTAGGGTTTTACCATTGAAACATAAATTATCCAWGGGTTCTTTTTCAAAAAAAAAAGGAAAAATATCCAAGGGTTTTGAGAAGAGACAAAAAGAAAGAAAAAAATGGGCAAAGTAGGTTTCTTTTTTTTTTCCCTACAATATTCTTTTTTTTTTTGATCAGCAAACAAAACTGTGTATTAATATAAATCTTGTAAGATATCATTAAGTACCAATGGCAGCTCTAGCCCATCAATAAACCCATCTCTCAACTCCCCCTTTTCTTGATCAGTAACATTGAAATTTTAATAATGATAAAATAGGATTACAAAGGGATGGAGCAAAAAAGTCTTAACTCCAACTACCCAAGAAACATTCTGATCATGAAATGATCAACACAGCCCGGAATAATGTGTCTCTATTTACCCCTTGCCTAGCTAAACCGTTAGCAAATGCATTTGCACTTCTCTTTATCCAATTGCATTGAATTTCCATGTCCTTGGTT